TGCTATTCCTGATTTTTATATCCATGGAGATTACATGACAAGGTATAGACATAGGGTATGCACCTTTTTCATAAGTCAAGAGCATATCTTTTGCAACTTTTTATTTATGAATCACCCAGTGTCATGAGGCTGAACAAACCCAGAAAATTATTCTTCTGCATTTTCGAATTTGCTACTGCCAAGCATGCCTCTGGGTATTGTTATCCCCAGGTAAAGATATCAAATAAATGCTTTGGATCTGCACATCTAACCTTTCTTCTCTTCGTAATATTAATCATATAAAAACTTTTATTTGATGCAATACTCGTCTCCACACAAATTTTCTTCTAGGGGTGGAAGGTGGGATGTAAATAGGAGGGAGGCTGTTTGGCATCTGGAATCAATTTTTTAGAATTTATGTAGAATTAAATATAGTAATTTATTCTGAAATTCCAGAACATTTATTTAGAGTTTATTGGTGATTATAGTATTTTACATTTGCCATGCCTATAATATTCTTCCTTGGTTTGGGGTTTTACCTGTACCATGGGCAAATTAAGGCATTAAAAAAAAAAAAAAAAAGGATTGTTTCTTCTATCATTTATGTGTGTACATGCCAATTGCCCAAATCAGTGGAAATATGGGTAGGCTCTCTGGCATCTGCTCAGCATGAGTGTTTATGATAAAACTGCGGAGAATAAGTGATTCTTTGGTCCCAATGTCCTAGTATGTATATTTCCTGATATCAAGTGATTTGAGTATATTCATAATACAGCTTCCATTTTGATCCTGTGACTAGGTGATTGTTCATGACATTGTTCAGTGCTGTACCTTTACAGTATATAGAGAAAGAGGCTATGAGTTCTTGTTAATATCTTTAAACTCCAGAAGCTTAGTCCTTCCTTCTAAAATGAGGTAAGGAGGGATATCAGTCCCTGAATGATGAACTGTGTGAATACATCATTAAAAATTCATTTATTTTCAGAGTCTCGGGCTGCCTTATGAAGTCACACTGCCTTAGTCAGTCATCCACTAATCTAGTCTCTTCTTCCTAACAACATCTCGTGGAAACTGTATTGGTATATTACTTAAATTTTGTAATCATGAATTATTATTTTATGAACATTTAAATATAGTTATATAAATGCTTAGCAATCTAAGGTATACAGTATGCTTCTAATTATCTAAGTTCAATAGAGAATACATGCTGACTTCCAAGGACTTGAAGCAAATATCTAGACTATAACTAATTGCAGTGTTCTGTAACACTTTCAGTATTAGATTATTATGTTAGTCTCAACTCTACAGGGTATAAATTTGTCATGTGGCCCTTCGGCTAAGTGGTATTTGCAGATAGAGGTATGCATCATAGTGCTTGTTAAGAGAAAAGGATTTGGAATCAGATCAATTTGGGTTCAAATCTTATCTGCCACAGGTCAGCTAAATGACCTTGGGCAAGTTAATTAACCACTTCGGGCCTCAACAAAATGGGGAATAATAATACTCAACTAACACAAGTTGCTAAGATCAGATAAGTTCATGTATCTAAAGAGCCTAATACAGTGACTAGCACATTACAGATACTCAGTAAAAGTCTATACTTTTATTATTATCATCAGATTTGTTGAATCAAAATCTTTTATCTCTCTGGAGCATCATGTCATCTTGACAGCAATGTTTTTCTATAATAATAAACCAGATAATGGCTCCATCCAGTTCACAGGGGGGGCAAAGGCAAGCATTATATGAAGGCTTTTTCATCTGATTTTATACAGTTTTCTCTTTCCAAGTATGTAAAAGCAGTTTTCACCTGGTAGTGAACCCAAAATAATGAACTCCATGATGAGTGAGTTGGGTTGTTCAACTACTAAACACTGTTCTGACAATGATATGAACTGCAGGACTAATTGTACTCCATCCGTTTAACTTAAGGAGACCATAATCAGACTACCTTGGCGTCTTCGAGAAGAGTTAAATTTGCAAGACCAGATGATGTTCTAAGCTCTCAAAGTCTGGTACAAAACAGTCTTTATATCTTAATCCTCAATTCTCCCTAAAGCCTCAGTTACCTTTTGGGCTGTACCAAGAGTTTTTCTGCAATAGTCTCACACTGCCGCAGAACCTAAATTGGAACTTCTGCCAGACTGAACAACACAACTCACTTTTGTCCCAGTTTCATACTCTCAGCCTTTAGGGATGATTGCTTCATGCTTTTCCTATCTGGTTGTAAACCAGGTAATCAGTTTGGATGCTATTTCACTTTAGTCCTTGGCATTTGGCTGAAACAGTGGCTCCTAGCAATCATAATGAAGAGAATGGAACAAATTTGTTGGCTATTTTAGTACAGAAAGTCTTCAATGACTCTAAGACATTCAGATATCTTGGCTACTTAGAAGTTTGAGTGTCATTACAAAACACTTAAACATTAATGAACAGTAGGTAAAATAATATAGTATGCTCGAAAGACTGCTTCTAACCCATGACTTGTTTATTGGGAGGGGGTATGTATCATATTAAAGTTTAAGCTTTTGCATGACTAGAACTCCTTATAAAGAAAGCATCAATCTCTGACCCAGGTTGAATTAAAACATCTGTTTATTTTGGTTCTCCTCACCCCTCCTCACAGATGTAAATTAGCCAATTTATGATAAAATTGTCCTTCAACATTGGAGAGAAGAGTATTTTTAAAGTTCATTTTCATTTTCTTACTGTTTGATATTTTTAGGTTGATATAGGCACTGGATTCCACTCTAAATTTTATGCAACCTCTACAAGAATGGGGCACCAGGGATAAAAAAATGCAACTGAATTTCCTCGAGATTAATCCCTTTCCTTGTGAGTGGATTAAATTCTTATAGAAATTGTCAGAGCCAATGTCTTTAGATCACCTCAACACTTTTAACTAAGTATCTACCATATGTTTGGTGCGGTCAATAAATTAAGAGCAGTCTGAGTCTTCTGTAGATTTGGAACTTTTAATTATTCCGATCAAGTTTGCTGTAATAGAGATTCACTTTTCAGATTTTAAGTGTTTTAGAAAGTTATCAGGCAAAGAAAAGTGCTTTTGAGGGGAATCTTTCAATGGATAGATTATATAATTCAAGCTCTATATCTGTTGCATTTAACCAAAAGAGAAATTATAAGATCATAGAAATAGTTCAGTCTCACTAGAGTCATCAAAATGTTACAATGAAAAATTAAATGAATAGTTATAAAGTGTTCATATTTCATCACAGTGGAAGAATCACAGGCAATGATTTGAAAGCCTCACACCTGCTATCCCATTCAGTTGAAAATAAAAGCAGAAAAGTAACAGCATTCAGACATCTTGACTATTTAGCAACTTGTGCATCTTTAATTGAAAAATATCTATTACCCTGTGCCTTCCAAAAATATAGTGAAAAGATATATCTGCTGGTGAGATAGGAGAGGAAAACATGTCTTTTGAATTTCAACTATCTTATGAATGATAAGGTTGTTACCTTTTCATTGAAAGAACTTATGGAAGAGATGTAAAACCAGAGACAAAAAGAGGGGTCAAGATGAATGAGACAATGATTTGAGGCTTTTAAAAATACCAACATATGTTTCTGATAATTTTGACTTTTCATGCTTTTTGTCTTAAGATATATTAATAATTTATTAAAATTCAGTAAACACTTGGTCCTACTAAGCCATGAATATTTAAATTCTACTAAATCAATGATTATCCTCAACATCATTTCAAAAAGGAAATGTAGTAGTTACTTATACACAGACATTTCTAACTGGAATTTCCCTAATTATATAGGGTTGCTTCATATACATTCCTTATATATGAATACCTGCTCCAATCTGTCAACCAAAGAAACTCTTATCTATGGCCACTGGGGATTTCTTTCTACTCCTTTCCATCCAAATAGTCCAACCTCTTTCTTTCTTCTTCTTCAGAAAGGAAAGGAAAAGGGCATAACTAATGGTAGGAAACAAAAAGACTGGGAAGAAGTAGAGGAAAATAAGGGATTAAAGGCTATGGAAATCTCCAAAGTAGGGGCATCCAAATTTTTTCAGAAATAGGTCTTTAATCAGAAACTGATGTGTGGGTGATTTTTACAATAGTGGTAAATTGAAAGGATCTGCACCACCTTGTGACTCAAAGGTTGAGAGCCTGAGGAGGTTTTATTCATATCTAATTTCTGTCTTTCTTCATCATCCCAAAGTCTTATGATGTCACTTAATGCAATTAAATTTGATGAGGTCAAAAGCAGACAGTTTCAATGATCATCAAATTATAATTACTAATTGTTTAAAAGCTGAGAGTATTAAACCCTGATGGCAGAAGGCAGGTTACATAGCTCAGGGTACATTTTTTTGCTTAAAAAAGTCAAGTGGTCCACAATGGGATCAGACAGGCCAGATGTGAACATATGCAGCATGGTGGATATTCAGCAACGTTTGAGGTTAGAGTTGGGGGTGGTGGTGAACATTTACCCATGATTTGACAGACAGGGGTGAGCATAAGAGGATGACCTGATTCCTCTGCCATGGCTAACACTGATTTTCTCACAGAATATTTGTTTCCCATGGTCTTTCAGTTCTACAATTCTATTAGTGAAATACTTTACAAACATGATGGATTAAAGAGATGGCAATCAGCTAGCCCTGGCGTTGAATCATTATTTATTCATTCTGTTACTATGAGAAAACTTTTACCCAAATCAGTGATCCACAAATAAAATTTTGGAAAAAACTTGTTAGAAATTGCCTATATAGCTTCCTTTATAAATATATACAACTGTGAACAAAACAAAAAGCAAAAAACAAGCCACTTCCTTTTCAGAGAGAATGCTTAAATTTATTTTTTCTCATTCATAGGATTTGTCAAGCACTGTAGTGAATTCTTTTTTCCCTTTTCTAATTGGCTTCATAGTTAGCCAGCTTATTAAAGCACAGTAAAACCAAAAATTGAAAAAAGTTTTTTTGCTGCAGTAGAATATAGTGTTTTTCTAATTAAAATTGCCAATAAGAAATTCAGTTCTTACCTTGTCAGAAGGTTTAAATGGATTTCCTTGTCCACTAATTCCACCACTGATACTAAATCCAAGGCCAGGATTCTTTTCTATTCTCACACAAAACTATGCAAAAAAGATATAAAAAGATAATCAAATACATATAAAAGCTAAATATCTTCAAATAACTGTATCTCAATAGAAAATAATCACATTTCACTTAAGTTCTCAGGGTTAGCCTATGTTAACTTGGTATATAAAAGACAGTATAAACTCTGACAAAGTAGTGTTTCTATAAGCATCAGTTATAAATGGAACTAACAAAATTACCTGAACAAGCAGACGTGAGTAAATATTTATTCGTTACCTGTGCAGGACTAAATTTTGATTAGCAGTTTTTAAAACTTAGAAAAAAAAGATTGTACATTATTTTAATTATCTACTTTAAATGTACATATAGTCTGACTAATTAGAAAGGACTGTATGAATAAGTGAAAGAAAATTTGCAAATGTAGAGTGAGGGAAAAGATGGCTATTTGATTAATTATTTGATTAATTATTTACACATCTTTATTGGAGTATAATTGCTTTACAATGTTGTGTTAGTTTCTGCTGTATAACAAAGTGAATCAGCTATATGTATACATATATCCCCATATCCCCTCCCTCTTCCATCTCCCTCCCTCCCACTCTCCCTAGCCCACCCCTCTAGGGGGTCACAAAGCACTGAGCTGATCTCCCTGAGCTATGCAGCTGCTTCCCATTAGCTAGCTTCCCATTAGCTAACTATTTTACATATGGTAGTGTATATATGTCAATGCTACTCTCTCACTTCGCTCCAGCTTACCCTTCCTGCTCCCTGTGTCCTCAAGTCCATTGTCTATGTCTGCATCTTTATTCCTGTCCTTCCCCTAGGTTCGTCAGAACCAATTTTTTTTTTAGATTACATATGTATGTGTTAGCATACGGTATTTGTTTTTCTCTTCCTGACTTACTTCACTCTGTATGACAGACTCTAGGTCCATCCACCTCACTACAAATAACTCAATTTCATTTCTTTTTATGGCTAAGTAATATTCTGTTGAATATATGTGCCACATCTTTATCCATTCATCTGTTGATGGACACTTAGGTTTCTTCCATGTCCTGGCTATTGTATATAGTGCTACAATGAACATTGTGGTACATATGGTTTTCTCTGGGTATATGCCCAGTAGTGGGATTGCTGGGTCATATGGTAGTTCTATTGTTAGTTTTGTAAGGAACCTCCATACTGTTGTCCATAGTGGCTGTATTGATTTACATTCCCACCAATAGTGCAAGAAGGTTCCCTTTTCTCCACACCCTCTCCAGCATTTATTGTTTGTAGATTTTTTGATGATGGCCATTCTGACTGGTGTGAGATGATATCTCATTGTAGTTTTGATTTGCATTTCTCTAATGATTAATGATGTTGAGCATTCTTTCATGTGTTTGTTGGCAATCTCTATATCTTCTTTGGAGAAATGTTGATTTAGGTCTTCTGTTCATTTTTGGATTGGGTTTTTTGTTTTTTTGAAATTGAGCTGCATGAGCTGCTTGTAAATTTTGGAGATTAATCCTTTGTCAGTTGCTTCATTTGCAAATATTTTCTCCCATTCTGAGGGTTGTCTTTTCGTCTTGTTTATGGTTTCCTTTGCTGTACAAAAGCTTTTAAGTTTCATTAGGTCCCATTGTTTATTTTTGTTTTTATTTCCATTTCTCTAGGAGGTGGGTCAAAAAGGATCTTGCTGTGATTTATGTCATAGAGTGTTCTGCCTATGTTTTCCTCTAAGAGTTTGATAGTGTCTGGCCTTACATTTAGGTCTTTCATCCATTTTGAGTTTATTTTTGTGTATAGTATTAGGAAGTGTTCTAGTATTAGGAAGTGTTCTAATTTCATTCTTTTACATGTAGCTGCCCAGTTTTCCCAGCACCACTTATTGAAGAGGCTGTCTTTTCTCCACTGTATATTCTTGCCTCCTTTATCAAAGACAAGGTGACCATATGTGTGTGGGTTTATCTCTGGGCTTTCTACCCTGTTCCATTGATCTATATTTCTGTTTTTGTGCCAGTGCCATAGTGTCTTGATTACTGTAGCTTTGCAGTATAGTCTGAAGCCTGGGAGTCTGATTCCTCCAGCTTCATTTTTCTTTCCCAAGATTGCTTTGGCTCTTCGGGGTCTTTTTTGTTTCCACACAAATTGTAAGTTTTTGCTCTAGTTCTGTGAAAAATGACATTGGGAGTTTGATAGGGATTGCATTGAACCTGTAGATTGCTTTGGGTAGTAGAGTCATTTTCACAATATTGATTCTTCCAATCCAAGAACATGGTATATCTCTCCATCTGTTTGTATCGTCTTTAATTTCTTTCATCAATGTCTTATAGTTTTCTGCATACAGGTCTTTTGCCTCCTTAGGTAGGTTTATTCCTAGGTATTTTATTCTTTTTGTTGCAGTGGTAAATGGGAGTGTTTCCTTAGTTTCTCTTTCAGATTTTTTGTCATTAGTGTATAAGAATGCAAGAGATTTTTTTTTTTTTATAAATTTATTTATTTATCTTTAAATTTTTGGCTGTTATGGGTCTTTGTTGCTGTGTGTGGGCTTTCTCTAGTTGTGGTGAGCAGGGCTACTCTTTGTTGCGGTGTGTGGGCTTCTCGTGGTTGTGGCTGCTCTTGTTGTGCAGCATGGGCTCTAGGCACACAGGCTTCAATAGCTGTGGCACATGGGCTCAGTAGTTGTGGCTTGCGGGCCCTAGAGCTGAAGCTCAGTAGTTGTGGCGCATGGGCTTATTTGCTCCATGGCATGTGGGAATTCCTGGGCCATGGCTCGAACCTGTGTCCCGTGCATTGGTAGGCAGATTCTTAACCACTGTGCCACCAGAGAAGCCCAAATGTAAGAGATTTCTGTGCAGTAATTTTGTATCCCGCTGCTTTACCAAATTCATTGATTAACTCTGTAGCTTTCTGGTAGCATCTTTAGGATTCTCTATGTATAGTATCACATCATCTGCAAACAGTGACAGCTTTACTTCTTCTTTTCCGATTTGGATTCCTTTTATTTCCTTTTCTTCTCTGATTGCTGTGGCTAAAACTTCCAAAACTATGTTGAATAAGAGTGGTGACAGTGGGCAACCTTGTCTTGTTCCTGATCTTAGTGGAAATGGTTTCAGTTTTTCACCATTGAGAACGATGTTGGCTGTGGGTTTGTCATATATGGCCTTTATTATGTTCAGGTAATTTCCCTCTATGCCTACTTTCTGGAGAGTTTTTATCATAAATAGGTGTTGAATTTTGTCAAAAGCTTTCTCTGCATCTGTTGAGATTATTCTATGGTTTTTATCCTTCAGTTTGTTAATATGGTGTATCACATTGATTGATTTGCATATATTGAAGAATCCTTGCATTCCTGGGATAAACCCCATTGATCATAGTGTATGATCCTTTTAATGTGCTGTTGGATTCCGTTTGCTAGTATTTTGTTGAGGGATTTTTGCATCTATGTTCATCAGTGATATTGGCCTGTAGTTTTCTTTCTTTGTGACATCCTTGTCTGGTTTTGGTATCAAGGTGATGGTGGCCTCGTAGAATGAGTTTGGGAGTGTTCCTCCCTCTGCTATATTTTGGAAGAGTTTGAGAAGGATAGGTGTTAGCTCTTCTCTAAATGTTTGATAGAATTCGCCTGTGAAGCCATCTGGTCCTGGGCTTTTGTTTGTTGGAAGATTTTTAATCACAGTAGTTTTCTTTTTTTATGACATATTTGTTTGGTTTTGGCATCAGGGTGATGGTGGCCTTGTAGAACGAGTTTGGAGGTGTTCCTCCCTCTGCTAATATTTTGGAAGAGTTTGAGAAGGATAGGTGTTAGCTCTTCTCTAAATGATAGATTTCGCCTGTGAAGCCATCTGGTCCTGGGGTTTTGTTTGTTGGATGATTTTTAATCACAGTCTCAATTTCAGTGCTTGTGATTGGTCGGTTTATATTTTCTATTTCTTCCTGGTTCAGTCTTGGAAGGTTGTTTTTTTCTAAGAATTTGTACATTTCTTCCAGGTTGTCCATTTTATTGGCATAGAGTTGCTTGTAGTAATCTCTTATGATCCTTTGTATTTCTGCAGTGCCAGTTGTTACTCCTCCATTTTTATTTCTAATTCTGTTGATTTGAGTTTTCTCACTTTTTTTCTTGATGAGTCTGGCTAATGGTTCATCAATTTTCTTTATCTTCTCAAAGAACCAGCTATTAGTTTTATTGATCTTTGTTATCATTTCCTTCTTTTCTTTTTCATTTATTTCTGACCTGATCTTTATGATTTCTTTCCTTCTGCTAACTTTGGGGTTTTTTTTGTTCTTCTTTCTCTAATTGCTTTAGGTGTAAGTTAGGTTGTTTATTTGAGATGTTTCTTGTTTCTTGAGGTAGGAATGTATTGCTATATACTTCCCTCTTAGAACTGCTTCTGCTGCATCCCATAGGTTTTGGGTAGTCGTGTTTTCATTGTCATTTTTTTTTAAGGTATTTTTTTATTTCCTCTTTGATTTCTTGGTTATTTAGTAGCATATTAGTGTTTGTACTTTTTACAGTTTTTTTTTCCCCTATAATTAGTATCTAGTCTCCATAGCATTGTGGTCAGAAAAGATACTTTATACGATTTCAATTTTAGTAAATTTACCAAGGCTTGATTTGTGACCCAATATATCATCTATCCTGGAGAATGCTCCATGAGCACTTGAGATGAAAGTGTATTCTGTTGTTTTTGGATGGAATGTCCTATAAATATCAATTAAGTCCATCTTGTCAATTAAGTCCATCTTGTCATTTAAAGCTTGTGTTTCCTTATTTATTTTCATTTTGGATGATCTGTCCGTTGGTGAAAGTGGGGTGTTAAAGTCCCCTACTATGATTGTGTTACTGTCGATTTCCCCTTTTATGGCTGTTAGCATTTGACTTATGTATTGAGATGCTTCTATGTTGGGTGCATGTTTACAATTGTTATATCTTCTTCCTGGATTGATCCCTTGATCATTATGTAGTATAGTTCTTTGTCTCTTGTAATAGTCTTTATTTTAAAGTCTATTTTTTCTGATATGAGAATTGTTACTCCAGCTTTCTTTTGATTTC